TATTCGACAAGGACGTGAACTTTTTATTATTATTAAACGTTTATTGCCAGGGACGTGAACTTTTCACAAGTACTTGCCTTATCTACTTGTGAGAAAGGGGTTGGGTTGGCCCGGAAACAAACCAGCCATACCAACCAATTATAAATTGATTAAAACTTATTTAGGTACTAACCACGCTTTTTCAATTTATTAAATTATATATGTTAAAATAAACTATAAACATGGCCAGCTCTAAGGCCCTAATGAATATAACAGAGAGTATATTTTGTTTATTTTTGGCTTTTTAGTGCAGTAAATAAAAGCCTGTTTTTAGTATTTTTTTTTTTAAACTATTAATTTATTTTACTATTTTTAGTTTCAGTCATCAGGAAAAATGAATAGAATATGTTCAGACGAATCTTATGAGCCCAAACTCGATATGTTTACAAGAAGGCAGTCCAAGGTTCCATCAGCTCAGACCAGCTCGATGGTACCATAATATTGTATAGTCATCTAATCTACATATAATAATTGCCAAGTTTCATGATGATACAAGGTTTCTTTTTTTTTTTTTTTTTAAGGACGTGAACTTTTCACAAGTACTTGCCTTCTTATAAGAAAGAGGAGGGTTGGCCCGGCCCAAACCAACTCTTCCATCAAAACACTTGATAATCCAGGTAATGAAGATCGTTAGAATTATTAGTTTAAACGAATATTCGCTCATTCATAACCCCTTAACAATTCAGTTAAAATTTTATAATGAAGCGCCCCACGCTTTATCTATATTTATATAATTATGTTAAAATAAACTATAATAACTAGTTCGATTTTTTCGTTCCGTTTTTTCCTTTTGATCTACGGAACCCTAAAAACAAAAGCAGATAAAAATTACAGATGACTTACATTAAAAAACTGAAAAGTATAATACTTATATGTACATACATTATATGTATCGTACGAACCTACTTACATATTACGTGCAATTTTCATTTTGATTAAGGAATATGTAATATAAATGTTTCTCTATTAAAATACATAGGTAAGTAAGTATACATAATTATTAACATTAAACGGATTCCACTGCAGATATAACAAATAGACGTAAGACAGTTAAAATAAGTAAGTAGGTATTTAGGCAATAGACCATTTAGTGACCATATAAGGTCAAAAATTCTGCATTCCGCTCGCTGTATTTTAAGTTATATATTCTCTTAAACAAAAATAAACTTTATTTCATAGGCAACAAAGTTTCTTAAATGTACTTGCGATCGCACGCTCCATCTAAAGAATAACAAATTAAATTATGAGTAAACAATTTTCCCAAGTTGTAGGTACCCAGTACCCAGTATTTCTTTAATAGTATATTCAGACTTAAGCAACTTTCGCAGTGGTCAGTCATTGGATGGGTGACCAAAGAAGGTACCCACCCAGTAATTCTTAACATCTAGTTATACTATTTTCAGACTTACCAAATAGACTGTATGGCAGGCTGTGTGTTTCTGTGCTGCTAGAGCTGTCTGCTGCTGGCGACAGCAAAGCTCTCTCGGGGAAGCTGAAATTTATAATATTATGTTCATTCATTCACTGAGAATAAACATTACACTGCAATACTGTTTACCGCAATCAATAAATGCGTTTTAAATCTTCTATCAAACGACAGAAGATTCCCAATTTCAAATCTTTAAAAATCATGACATTACCTTTTTAATATACTAACTGCCAGCCGTAGGCATTGCATGAACAAAGAGTTCAGTTCACCCAAACAGGGAGGCTGTAACGCAACGGACGCTACAGTAGGTACTTTTTACTTACTTACCTACATTGTCATGAGGATGAAATAAAATTACGTAGGTGTATATAGGTATACACACTTTGAACAGTAATACATATTATAAAAGAACCTAAAATATGTTTCATTAAGTTACGATTACACTCCACTTTTCGATTATGGGCTTCAAAAATATTATTACCGGAAAATGTTTACGTACTAAGGTAGGTACCTATATTCTACTATTTCCAAAGTCGTGTAATAAATCAACAACTGCGTAAATGTTTCTCAGTTTGAATACCTATGTTTTCTAGTCGAATTGGTCAAATTATTGATGTATCAGAAAACAGCAGACATGGAAAAGCAAAATAACTTATTTAATTTGCAACTGTGACAACAGTGTGTTTGAAAACCCTCATCCTTACGCCCTTAATCAATTTTCATAATATGTTCACGTAAACCGTTCACAAGACTTTCCATAGTTATTTGTCCAAAAAACCACAATAAGTTGATCCCTCGTAGGTATATAATCCATCCATGCGAATGCGCGCTGGCTAAATATAATGGGGCCTCAGCTCGGAGGTAGGTAAGTACCTAACTAACAACACAAGACCGACGCGCGCGCCGCGATTGGTTGAAAAATTTTCATGCGAAACGAAACCTTATGAGTCCTTTTTATTACATACTTTTGCAAGAAATCTTAATTTTTGAGCGCCTCACTTTGTAATGTAGGTAGGTATGTAATGAAAACTCTTACTTTGACTATTTTTAATACAAGTAAGAAGTGGATTTATCTTTGTTATTGTAAGTTAATAATAACCTTTAGAATATTTTCTAGATAAATGTTATTTTATCTCATCGTTTTTTTGTACTGATCTTGGTTCTACCGCACCTTGTTTACTACGGAAAAAAATGCACAACTTCAAACGCCTGAATCTATGAATCAGATTGAATAAACTAGTTTAAATTAATTCCTACGTTATCAGAAATACGTTATTGTTGTAACATAATGTACCTATCATAATATTGTTTTTTTGTCTCAGTGAGTAACTAATTGAAGGTCACTTGAAGGTCACGCATTTCTTTTAGTGATATATAATAAATGTTATTTTATTATCGTTTTTTTTGTACTGATCTTGGTTCTACCGCACCTTGTTTACTAAGGAAAAAAATGCACAACTTCAAACGCCTAAATCTATGAATCAGATTGAGTAAACTAGTTTAAATTAATTCCTACGTTATCAGAAATACGTTATTGTTGTAACATAATGTACCTATCATAATATCGTTTTTTTTTCTCTCAGTCAGTAACTAATTGAAGGTCACTTGAAGGTCACGCCTTGCTTTTAGTGATATCCCGGGAAAAAAAATTGCAGCCAACAATAGAGACTGTTTTATTACAATAAAATGAAAAAATAAAACCAGCCAATAAAACGAGCGAAAAAAACTCCACAACATTAAAAGCATAATGTAACAACATTTACAAATCATTTTTGAATTAATGAATCATTTTGAATGATTGAAATGAGAAAAAAAGCACTTAGCTTACACATCATTACAGACATTTTTGTCTGTAATATAATAATGTAATGCTTTAATAAGCGAGTTTAATAAGAAAAAAGTGCACAACTTCAAACGCCTAAATCTATGAATCAGATTGAATAAACTAGTTTAAATTAATTCCTACGTTATCAGAAATACGTTATTGTTGTAACATAATGTACCTATCATAATATCGTTTTTTTTTCTCTCAGTCAGTAACTAATTGAAGGTCACGCCTTGCTTTTAGTGATATCCTGCGAAAAAAATGTCATCTCAGCGCCGCAGCCAACAATAGAGACTGTTTTATTACAATAAAATGAAAAAATAAAACCAGCCAAGTCTACCACTCGTTACAGGACATATTTTTTAGCTGCGGAGAAAAACGAGCGAAAAAAGCTCCACAACATTAAAAGCATAATGTAACAACATTTACAAATCACTTTTGAATGAATGAATCATTTTGAATGATTGAAATGAGAAAAAAAGCACTTATTAAAAAAGCTTATTACAAAGTGTCTGATTACATTACAGACATTTTTGTCTGTAATATAATCAGACACTTTGTAATAAGTTTTTTTCAATAAGTGCTTTTTTTATACTATCTTTGAATTTATTTATGCTTAACTCTTGGATATTGGTTGGGACTTTATTGTATAAGCGAATTATTGATTTTGTGAAGCCTAGTAATATGTACTATAAGACGTTACATCGTACCTACCAAATTTTTAGATCCTAAGTTCACGGGAAGTACCTAAGTACCTTGTAAAAAACCAATTTTTGTCAGAGCCATGAATTTTTGGTCACCCATCCGAAAAATAGGCATTTTTTTTTTTTTTTTTTTTTTAACTCCGTGCGCGTGCGCTTGCGCATGTGCCGTACTGCGCATGCGCGCGCACGAGCCGTGCTGCCCATACGGCCAAGGTATATTTATCGTGTCTAGCGGCTCGTGTCTCTCGGAGACGAACAGAGGCAGGGAGTTAATTTTTTGATTTTTTCCCCGACAGTGCGTCACCCGACTCTTGGCGGCGCCGCGCCGTTGTATTTGAGTCCGTTTCTACTATGTTATAATATAATATTGTAAGAGACGTACGAAATACGACGACGCAGCGATCGATGGGCAATGTTCTGTTTAAGTTGTTGTGGGGTCTGTCTCGATTAAAAGGCGGCACATCGTATCCGATCGACGGATTCGCGGTTTTATTTATTTATGAGAGCTTGCTCTCGTATGTATATCGTAATAACCGTATTCGTATAACAAACGATCGGCGCGGCGGGGCAATACGCACACGAGAGGGATTCTTTCTCCAACAACGCTTGGAAAGAATTTCCCTTTCGATCGTGCGAGCCGCGGGTCGCGTAGGCTAAGTAAAGCCCGCGACAAAGTTTTTACTCGACGTATGTTTTGAATCAGACGCGCACACACAACACAACACAACAACAGTGTGTTTGTGTGTGTCTCCGTTTCAAAGCGTCGTTGGTGGAGCCTCTATAGCTCCGGGCGTGAACACCGTTCATGTGTTGTTACGATCATTATTGAAACAATATTGTACGAAAGTGAACAGTGCTTCTATGCGAACTTTCAACGTGGGCGCTTCCCCCCAACTCCTTGTTTTACTACTCTCGCGGTGGTACACGAGGAGGAAGGGTTACGCGCTGGTGAGATACTGTTGTCTACGACTACGGGCGTATATATTATATATCCCGGAGTTTACGACGCAGCACCGACCACCACAATTACATTGCTTGTGCAAGTCACTCCTCGTCGGTTACGGTTTTACGTCTGATGAGGTGTGCGCGCATAAATGTGTGAGGAGTTAAGCTCCCTGGTTGATCCTGCCAGTAGTTATATGCTTGTCTCAAAGATTAAGCCATGCATGTCTCAGTGCAAGCCGTATTAAGGCGATACCGCGAATGGCTCAATATATCAGTTTTGGTTCCTTAGATCTTACTCAGTTACTTGGATAACTGTGGTAATTCTAGAGCTAATACATGCAATCAGAACTCTGACCAGTGATGGGACGAGTGCTTTTATTAGATCAAAACCAATCGACGGAGGGCCTCGCGTCCGAAGTCGTTAATTTTGATGAATCTGGATAACTTTTGCCGATCGCACGGTCCAGCACCGGCGACGTATCTTTCAAATGTCTGCCTTATCAACTTTCGATGGTAGTTTCTGCGACTACCATGGTTGTCACGGGTAACGGGGAATCAGGGTTCGATTCCGGAGAGGGAGCCTGAGAAACGGCTACCACATCCAAGGAAGGCAGCAGGCGCGCAAATTACCCACTCCCGGCACGGGGAGGTAGTGACGAAAAATAACGATACGGGACTCTTACGAGGCCTCGTAATCGGAATGAGTACACTTTAAATATTTTAACGAGGAACAATTGGAGGGCAAGTCTGGTGCCAGCAGCCGCGGTAATTCCAGCTCCAATAGCGTATACTAAAATTGTTGCGGTTAAAAAGCTCGTAGTTGCATTTGTGCGCCGCGCTGTCGGTGCACCGCATCCGCGGTGATACTGACACGTTTGCGGAGCATATCGTCGGTGAGCCGACGGTAAAACGTCGGTTCAATATCAAAATCCTATCGCGGTGCTCTTCAGTGAGTGTCGAGATGGGCCGACAATTTTACTTTGAACAAATTAGAGTGCTCAAAGCGGGCTCAAAATGCTGCTTGAATATTTCGTGCATGGAATAATAGAATATGATCTCGGTTCTATTTTGTTGGTTTTCAGAACTCCGAGGTAATGATTAATAGGGATAACTGGGGGCATTCGTATTGCGACGTTAGAGGTGAAATTCTTGGATCGTCGCAAGACGAACATCAGCGAAAGCATTTGCCAAAGGTGTTTTCATCAATCAAGAACGAAAGTTAGAGGTTCGAAGGCGATTAGATACCGCCCTAGTTCTAACCGTAAATATGTCATCTAGCGATCCGCCGACGTTACTACAATGGCTCGGCGGGCAGCTTCCGGGAAACCAAAGATTTTGGACTCCGGGGGGAGTATGGTTGCAAAGCTGAAACTTAAAGGAATTGACGGAAGGGCACCACCAGGAGTGGAGCCTGCGGCTTAATTTGACTCAACACGGGAAATCTCACCAGGCCCGGACACCGGAAGGATTGACAGATTAACAGCTCTTTCTTGATTCGGTGGGTGGTGGTGCATGGCCGTTCTTAGTTGGTGGAGCGATTTGTCTGGTTAATTCCGGTAACGAACGAGACTCTAGCCTGCTAAATAGGCGTCGCCATTTAGGTGTGCGTGGCTCTGTCACGCAACTCACTGGCGACGTATTAAAATTCTTCTTAGAGGGACCGGCGGCTTCGAGCCGCACGAGATTGAGCAATAACAGGTCTGTGATGCCCTTAGATGTCCTGGGCCGCACGCGCGCTACACTGAAGGAATCAGCATGTTCTCCCTGGCCTAGAGGCCCGGGCAACCCGTTGAAACTCCTTCGTGCTGGGGATTGGGGTTTGCAATTATCCCCCATAAACGAGGAATTCCTAGTAAGCGCGAGTCATAAGCTCGTGTTGATTACGTCCCTGCCCTTTGTACACACCGCCCGTCGCTACTACCGATTGAATGATTTAGTGAGGTCTTCGGACCGACACGCGGTGGCTTCGCGGCCGTCGGCGTTGCTGGGAAGTTGACCAAACTTGATCATTTAGAGGAAGTAAAAGTCGTAACAAGGTTTCCGTAGGGGAACCTGCGGAAGGATCATTAACGTGTTCGGCGCCCCGCGTACTGCATTCTATGTATGTATGTGTGCGTGTGCTACGCGATAAATAATCCAGATATACACATATTATTTCGACGGTGCTCGTAGTACGACTGCATACACATATATGCCGTCTGCTTCGTGTACTGTCGCGTCGTTCGCAACAAGACTGTGACCGGTCGAAATCCGCGCCCGTAGTCTCGTTATGGACGTTCGTTAAACAACAAAAACAATTCGCGGTTCAGAACACAGTTGAGTGTTTTCTGAGTTATTTGATTTTTTCATATTTTTATTATTATGCTTTTCGAACAAAAACAAAACAATAAACCACTACCCTGGACGGTGGATCACTTGGCTCGCGGGTCGATGAAGAACGCAGTTAACTGCGCGTCATAGTGTGAACTGCAGGACACATTTGAACATCGACATTTCGAACGCACATTGCGGTCCATGGAGACACATCCAGGACCACTCCTGTCTGAGGGCCGGCTGCA